TTATGGAAGAAATCATAATTGCCATAAACTGATAACAATTAATTATATATTCTATATCTATATATATATATATAAATATTTCTTTGGTTTTTATTATATACATTGATCATTCTCTTTGTGGCTCCTCTCCAGCAAATTCGACATTGGGTGTTTCTGTGAGTGTGTGTGTATATATATATATATATATGAATGTATGTATAATATGGGTCATAACAAGTATATTTCATATATTTGTTCATGTTTTTTTAACTTCATGAGATTTATATTTTTTTAGCGTTTGGAGAGCGCCATATATATATATATATATAGACACATAGAATGAAGGGTGGAGAGAAAAACAAACAGGTCATTCATCAGCTTTTGCTACTTTCTGCACTTCTTTTTTCAGGTTTGTTCCCACTTATTTCTATGCCTACATGTGTGTATGTATATATATATGTATATATGTATGTATATATACTTTTTTTTTTTTAACTTGATTATGATGATAATGGGTATCGTTTAAACTTGCAATATGCAAATAATTATAGTTTCAAAAATAGTGATGATATAATTTTCAAAAATATAAAATTAAGTTACAAGAAAAGTATATTAATCTTGTTATATAATCAAGAAAATGGTCATATATATATATATACACGTACATACATATACAAATACATATTTTCTATAGCTTTGAATTGCCATTTACATTTAGAGATATGATATATAAGTATATAATAAATTAATAAATCTTAATTATTTTGCAGGACTAGAAGCCAGTGCTCTATCATATGATTACACAGCTAGTGTTGAGGCAAGTTTCACTTTGTAATATTTAATAGACTAATAATTTTGGATTTTGTCTGTTAATAATTAATTATTTAATTACTCTACTAATAAAGATTAATTGCTAATTTTTCCTAATAAAAAATTTAATACATATATATATATATATATATTTTTTTTTTTTTTCTGTGTGTGTAAATACAGTGTTTGGAGAATCCTCATAAACCACAATACGGTGGCGGAGTGATTATAAACTCAGAGTTGAACGAAGGGTTAGAGGGATGGTCTGCATTTGGAGATGCAAAAATGGAGCACAAAATCTCTGCAACTAATAACTTCGTAGTTGCTCACTCTAGGTTTCAACCTTTCGATAGTGTCTCTCAGACCCTCCACTTAGAAAATGACAAACTCTATACGTTCTCCGGTACTATTTATATACATACATATACGTACTTGTTTTCTAGATAAAAAACTCATCTTTAATGGAGATTGTCTCTCTCTCTCTCTCTCTCTATACATATATATATATATGTATATGTATATGCAGCTTGGATACAGGTGAGTGAAGGAAAGACTTCTGTAAGGGCTGTTTTCAAAACAAAATCTGGGTACAAGCATGCTGGTAGCGTTGTGGCTAAGGCAAATTGTTGGTCCATGCTCAAGGGTGGCGTGACTGTTGACGAATCAGGTCCTGCTGATCTTTACTTTGAGGTATATATACGTAAACACACACACATATATATATATATATATATATATATATGCACGATATATACTTGTAGTCTTTCCTTTCTGTTCAAATGATGAACTTTCTTGACTTGTTTAGAGTAATAACACATCAGTTGATATTTGGGTGGATAGTATTTCACTGCAACCTTTCACTCAAGAGGAGTGGAAATCTCACCAAGATGAAAGCGTTAACAAGGTATTCATAAACTGAATCAGTATTATATATGTACATATATGTATATATATACATGTTAATGTGTATACAGAAGTTTTCTACTACAACAAAAAGTTAATGATTGGCAGATGAGAAAGAGAAAAGTCAGAATCCAAGCTGTTGATACGTTTGGGAAACCTGTAGCTAATGCAACAGTCTCCGTATCACAGAAAAGACTCGGTTTCCCATTTGGGTGTGCTGTAAACCAGAACATCCTTGGAAATACAGCTTATCAGAACTGGTTCTCCTCAAGATTCACCGTCACTACGTTTGAGAACGAAATGAAATGGGCAAGCATCGAATCCACACGAGGCATCGAGGACTACTCCATCCCGGATGCCATGCTCAAGTTCACCAAGAGCCATGGGATAGGAGTTCGAGGCCACAACGTCTTGTGGGAAGATCCTCAGTACCTACCACGGTGGGTTGATTCACTCTCCACGAATGATCTTAAGAACGCTGTCACAAAACGTATATACTCCATCATGAGAAGATACAGAGGCCAAGTTATAGGATGGGATGTTGTTAATGAGAATTTACACTTTTCTTTCTTCGAAAGCAAGCTTGGTGCGAGAGCTTCTGAATTGTTTTATGCAGTTGCTCAGATGATTGATCCAACGCATACAATGTTTATGAACGAGTTTAATACTGTGGAGGAGAGTAGAGATAGCAAAGCAACACCGAGTAAGTACCTCGAAAAATTAAGATCAATAAAATCTAGTCGTAGTAATACCAACTTAGGAATCGGACTCGAATCACATTTTGGTAGTGGTGCTCCAAATCTTCCTTACATGAGATCAGCCATTGACACTCTAGCTGCAACTGGATTGCCTATTTGGCTCACGGAGGTAGACGTACAAAGCGGCGGTGATCAGGTAACATTTTTCGCTCTCTTACTTCATCGATTACTATCATATTTCGTTGGCTTCGATAATATTATAACAACATCATACAATTTAACTAATTTCGTAGCACAACATAACATAATTCAATTCAAAATTGAGAAATGTACAACTATGGTTAAGATCGAAATTGCAAGGATCGTCGTTACATTAGGGGCGAAGTGATTTTTAAGAAGAATTTTAATTTCGAGCAGGCAAAATACTTGGAGCAGATTCTTAGAGAGGGACATTCGCATCCTAAAGTGAATGGAATTGTGATGTGGTCGGCATGGAGTCCACAGGGATGTTATCGTATGTGTCTGACCGATAACAATTTTCGGAACTTGGCAACCGGGGATGTTGTGGACAAACTTTTGCACGAATGGGGCGGTAGAGTCGAAGGCAAGACGGATGTAAATGGCTTCTTTGAGGTCTCACTCTTCCATGGAGATTACGAAGTAAACCTCACTCCCTCAACTGGTTTACCTTCTTCAAGCTCTTTTAAGTTGGCTTCAACAGATGGTGAACCTCATCAAACAACGCTGCTCGTCAGGAACTCTTGATCTCCATTGCTGCATATACGCTGTCGTTTAATCAGATGGATT